CCAGGTTACGACAATACGGTGTTTATGTAAGCTGTAGTGAGTGAGTATGGTTTTACACCGCTTTTAGCATTTATCAATATTCCAGCAATAGCACGGCGGGGGACACCAGAAATGGGCTTCACACATTGTACCCATGTGGGGAATCGAACCCGGGTCTCCAGCATGATGAGCGGACGCTTTAACCACTAGGCTACCCCACCGCCCTTATGTAAGCTGTAAACTGGGCATAGGTTTGGTTCGCAGTAATATAAAGTGCTATTTGCAAGGTTAGAATCGGGCGCGGACTGATCACTGACCTGAGCGTAGTGACCCTTATAAGACTACCAACCTGCTGACCAGATACTCTGAATGACATATTTAATAAATGACCAGCCCACCTTCCCCGAAATACCAACCACAGGAGTTGGTCCTTACCTGTTGTTTTGTCACCGAGTGGTCAGTGTCTGGACAATGGGCAACGCTGCTACTGCATAGAAAACACAGCATGGGGTATACGTTGACAGCCGACGAAGTATGATCTCATACAAATGACCAGATAAGTGTTTAAAATAACACAAGAGAAAAACAAATATTTTAACAGTCAAAAAGAGATTTACAATACATTATTAGGTCTCGTCTCTCTTGAATTGATATATACAGTATAGTAAGAACTTACTTTCGAGATTTTGCATCATGCATTTGCCACGAGTGAAAAGAAAACACATATACGTTGTTGTGAACATAGGAAGGACATTTGTGCTAAAATCGCGACAGCAATCGAAATGAAAACGTCAGCCGTTTAAGATATATTGCATGAAATCAAACACTAGACTATGTTCCGTGAGACTGTTATACAATCCAGTGAACTCAAATCACAACAAAACATAGATTAAATGGATACAAACATATCTACATAATAAGTCAATAAATCTTCACATGTGTTTTGACAAATGCATGAGTGTATATAATTTCTCACACTTCAAAAAGTCATGCGTCGGCCTATTGAATTATAATCCCCATCATGGCGGTCCAAGAAGAGAACGTGCAACTGAATTATATGGTGCTTACACGAGGATTATAAAACTGATACAAGGCACTAAAATTCTGAAATAGTATATCATCTGAACTCCTTTTTGCCCGAAAAGCAAGTGCGAGGTTTGGAGCAATGTGATTTATCAGTTACAAAGTTCGCATGACCGCAATAAGCAAGGAATTGTGTCGGTATAGACTGTTCCATAAACGTCCATAAGATGTACAGGGTCACTTGTACACAATATTGCAAAAACACCACATGACAATATAATCAATTCGTCTTTTAATTGTTACATATTTCTTCCAATATTTTGACAAATAGTACATGTACATGTATTGAACTGAAGAAGTTGCTTCAATATGACGTCAGTGTAATCACTATTACATAATTACACATGACGTCAGGTATCTCGTTTCTGTGTAACAACGTGATGATTCATGTGAAAACTGTGCATCGCATGAATTGTATTGATACCAATGCTATGATATCGTAAACAGCATATGTAATGACGTTTTGAATTTGCTCCCTTCTTTTATTATTCAGCTGCAATATGATTTCTCGCATGGATTCAAATTGGTTCAATGAGATGAATATTTAACAATCTGATCTTCTTTAGTTATTGGATTACTCAAATGTTTGCGCATTGCTGTCCGTGTAGTAATGCAGTTATCAACCAGGATATCTGCAGTATTACTGTAAAGAATCTTCCTATCAAAGAAATAGTTATCATTGATAATCCAGATTACAGTTCATATCATATCTCCCCGGTGTGTCTGTATGACACATAGTTCATTCTTCATATTTGGAGGATGTTTAAACAACAAAATACCAGAATCAAACAAATATTCAACATAGTTCAATATGTTTTTTTGTTTTACAAGAGTTCATTTCCTTTAAAAAACCACTTGAGGAAGACGTTGTTCAGAAATGAACTTTCGTACATCTGTGATTGATAAATCTTCAAAGATGTCATGCAGATAGTGTCATGTAGATATCATAGCCCACCGATGGCCTGCCGATTCACAAATATGAATATGATTTGCACTGTTTCGCACCTGAATAAGAAGCTTAACACACGGGATGTATACGTTTATTTTGTTAGCGTAGAGTATGTGTCATCAACGCTTTCGTTTGTTTGTTTACTTGTTTGTTAGTTTATTCAACACTGCACTCAGTACCATGCCAGTTGTATGTTGGAAACATGTACAAATCGAGTCTGGATAATGTAACATATGTTATAATTGGGATTACTTTCTTAGTAAAGTACAGATTCTAGCACTTTTGTTGGGTTGAGTCCCATCCGGGATTCGAACTGTAAGGGTGTGGGTTCGAATCCCGGTTGGGACTCAGCCCAACAAAAGTACTAAACTCTGTACTTTACTAAGAAAGTGTAATCCTATATATAATATATGTTACATTGATCCACTTTCTAAATGGCATTGTGTATTCATAGAGTCTGGACTAGGCAATGCAGTGATTGATATTGAGAACAACCATCTGCGCCTTCGGGGTACGATGACATGCTAACAACAATGAACCCTAACCCCCTTGTTTATATACTCGATGTACCTGTACCTATGAGCGAGTTGTGCATAGGCTATTTTACTTACATATGAATTAGCAGTTTATACGCACGTGATTTACATATGAACGTGCGCACATTGCATTTGGACACTGATGTAAAGAATGGGCTTATTGTAGAAACGCAACACATTCAAGTTATGCCAAACTTTAAAAACCATTATTGTCGTTTTGAAACTAACGTACATGGGCGGGTTGTGGTTGCGATTTAACAATAGTTTAAAATACATGTACTCAACTTCCTAAAGTTTATATGATGCATACACAACGTACGTACGGGATACCAGATTAAGGACATATACTGAAGTTACGTATAGGGTGTCACTTTATATGATATATACTCAAGTTACGTATGGGGTATCAGTTTATATGATGTATACGAAAGGTACGTACGGGATACCAGATTAAGGATATGTACTCAAATTACGTATAGGGTGTCACTTTATATGATATATACTCAAGTTACGTATGGGGTATCAGTTTATATGATGTATACTCAAGTTAGATATGGTATAACGTTTCATATTATATACACACAAGGTACGTAAGGGTGTCATTTATATGATGTATACTCAGTTTACGTATGGGACAAAGTATTATGTTATAATATAACGAGGTATTTCAAGTCATAACATTTTTTGTATTTTTCCTACTCTCATTCAGTGCAATCTGTTTGAAAGTTCTACAGAAGGCCTTTATATTTGACCGCAAGTTCATCGTAAGGTAAAACATTTTTCGATGTGACCCCTTAACCAAAGATGTCACTATGGTCTGTCAGATATAGTCAGGACAAAAAACAAGGTTGTTCGGTCAACATCGACTGTCCTTGAATATCTAAGAACGCTTGTCCTCAAACATGAGTTCACAATGCCAAAGTACGTTGTACTTGAATGTGTCAAGAGGAGGACGTACACGTATACACCTGTCGGTCAGATGGCACACAACGCGAGAGTAAAATGTTTGGAGGTAAATGCAGAATGATAAAGTCGCAAACCTCTCGGATGTCCTGGGTTAGAATTCAAAGTTTAATCTGTGTTGTTATCGCGTTCAGTAAGTATTACTGAAGGGTATCTGAGCATGAAACATATGCCCCTACATTCGAATTTAAGAAGTACAAGATGATTCTTGTTCATTGAATTATGTCCCACCATCCGGTTACCATTTTAACACGACATCTTTCAAAATGAACTCTTGTTAATTAAACTGCAGTAGACTACGGTTATAACGAACCCAAAGGGACCACTGACTTTAATTCGTTATAACCGCAGTTCGTTAAATTTCGGGTAAAATATACATCATGTGGTCGGGGAGAGTTCTTTAGATCCGTCACTTCATTATATGTGTGTTCGTTAATAACGAACAATTTAACACGATGACTTATAAGATTAACCTTTTTGTATCAAGACATGCGTATTTAAGCTAAACAAACTAAAAAGACCAATGAGTTATCAATAAGTGTTTTGTTAACAGCCGGAAAACAAGGCAGGTATTGACAACGTAGCGAGTGGGGCTCTGGCCCGCCGCTTCCCGCATTAGAGATGCTCTCAAACAGCTTTTGCCGGCGAAAAAAATATGCCTCAGTCAAACAGGTTACTGCCTGCACAGTGGTGGCCCATGTCCAACAGGGACCTGCTTCTTGCTTTAATCGGATTTTTAGAAATTCTCCTTCGTGGGGTCATGTTCAGGACTTGGATTAAGTGAAATGGTTAGGTAAAGGTTTGTTTTGGTTGCACGTATACATCAAAGTTAAACAACACGAAGTGAGGCGGTTTTTTACAACTGTCAAGTGGCCGAGTGTTTTTTCACAAGAAGGAGTTGGTCTTGCTTTAATCTGATGAATATGGATTTATATGACTGGTGAATTTATATGTTTTGGTGTGGCTGGATTTTGTGGCTTGTGCTCCTCACAGATTCTTCAGCTGTCACTACGGGACAGAACCTGTTGGATACTGACTGAAGAAACTTGCTTTTCTAAGCGACACCCATTGTAGTAGTGATTGGTTGCTGGGCGTTTTGAACCAGTTTTAGTTGTGGTGTGTTATTTTTAAACATCGGTGCCTCCTAAAATGCAGGCATGGTGCCTGTGATTTTTCCGAAAATAGGACACATCGTGCTGAGAACCTTTTTAAAGAAACAACATGGATCAAATTCAAGAGCGAGTGTCAATCGTGTTCCTTAACCTCGTTGGATGCAAACTTGCTGTTGGTCGTGTGTTGGGTAACGTTAAGGCCAGTTATCATATGTACGTTTTCAACTACCAGGAGCGGTTATAGGTCATTGCAAAAACTCGACACATCCAAGTGTTTAAGCAAATAGATGGATTAATGGCGATATGGCTGATTTATTGTCATCTTGATAGTATCTTGACAACGTGATTGTGCCATTTGCGAGTAGACAGTGACTAAAGATGGGACGATACTCCAAAACCGGTGAAGTCAGAATAAGTGATCAAAAATCCAGGGATCCTTCCAAAGTTCAAGACTTCTTCGACCCTCAACCAAAGCCGCTAATCAGAAGGTACTGTAAACAGGGCGTCATGGGACGAAACTGTTATTAATGTTGTTTCATTTTTATTATCATATTTAAATCAGGAACGTCATGCTTAACGAATTTGTGAGTGTTGTAATACATCATTATACAGTTTTAATTTCAGTGAACTGTACGACATGTGACGAAAGTATCAATATTGCTGTTATAAAATTATATTAACATTTATAAAACACGAAACCTGCCTTTCAGGAAATTTGTCAGAATGTTTATACATACTACTAATTCGGAAAGTGTTGCGTAATAAATAATGATTTGTTTATGTGTGCACTGTGATACGCAATCAATGCGTGTGTATGCATGCGTGCGTGTATGTATGTTTATGGATAGATAGAGAGAGAGATAGATGTAGATATATAGAGAGATATATTTAAAGATCTATTTCGGTGATATATTGAACGTGTGCAGGTGTCAATTCTGATTAAAAGAAAAAAATGAGAATTGATGTTCAACAATGTCAACAATGACAGCAACGCTGAATGGATACTAAGAAGAGATATATCCTATAACCGGATGTCCCAACTTGCAGACTTAAGTACGGAGCGATTTAGTGACCTATGACATGAATGCATACAATCATTAATGAATAACGTAAAAAAGCATCAGGTTTAGTATGAATAGAACATGATACATCATGTAGCCTGTTAAAGAAGGAGATTGTCGCAAGGTTGGCTGGATTCCTGAGAAGGAAACAGTCCTAGAAAATGAACCTTTCTCATAAAGTTAAGTTACGACAATATACTCTGGAGATTAACTTTGGGATCCCTTGTGACATTTTAACTAACGATTCTCTTTTAACGTCATTCTGTATCCATGACCATTGTTCTATCACCTTTCTGTACATGTTGTTTTACGCTGGTTTACTGTTTCCTACCCACCATACATAAACTCAAGGAAAAGGATATGAGTTCTTTTGCACATTTTCTCCATATGTAAAGTATAAATTGGACATAAATAATGCTTCTTGAGATGGTGGAACAGTGGATTTGCGATTCTGGTGTCTGTTTATTTTTGTAGTTTTTATACCAACGTCTTACTTCATCCTATTAGTGAGTATATCAATTGTTTTGGTGTGACGTTTTACTTAATGGTCTCCATTTGAATGTCGAGTTTTATTATGTTAGTAACACATTTCGTAAAGAACCATGATCTACATTGTTTTGTTACCCGTTTCGCTAACACCTGGTGTCATCAATGATTTGTATTAATCCATTCACATAACTGCTATCGCTAGTTTCGTCTTTATGTCAGGTGGAACTATTTCGGCAGATAATCGTGACTTTAGTCTTTCATTTTAACACTTGCACGAACTTGCATACATACATACATACATACATACATACATACATACATACATACATACATACATACATACATACATACATACATACATACATACATACATACATACATACATACATACATACATACATACATACATACATACATACACCTGTTTGACCTATGGATATTTCCCATACATACCTCACATTCCTTGATGTATAGTTGTAGAGTATGATAACAGTTTATTGGAACGTAGCATGTCAGGTTTCCTTATGAATAAAATCAAAATCTTGTCGTAATTGAAATGTTTCCATAACGAAAAGAACTTAGACTGTGACGTGCATATTAGCTTTAAGCGCGCAAAAACATAGACTTTAGTATTACATTCATATTTCCCCTAAAGAAAGCGTGGATTTAATCCATGAATTAGTTACATTCATCCCGTAATCACCTTCTGTTAACTGACAAGTACATGTGTATCCTTCAATGGTGAACCTGCGAAGAAAACAACATGCAATCAGGATACATCCTCAAACACAACAATGTTCAGTCAAAAAAGAAAACATGAAACATCAACATGTCACTGGAGACCTTGAAAAACAACAAACCACACTTGGTGACTTAGGTCAGATGTCACAGGAAACAGTACTGACGTGTGAAGCTTGATTATCTGGCTGGACGTTGACCAAAGTTCATGTCGTAAGACACAGACTATGTTTATGAAAAATGTTCAGATGACGACACATGAACGTGTTGACAGCTCAGTACAGCTACATCATACAATCATATGAAAAATATCACTTATCAGATGTTTATGTAATAATTTCAACAATACAAACACGTGTGTGTCCTTCGTGTTGTGATTGCATCAGTCATCACTTTCATTTCATATCCGCATGTCCATCTAACGTACATTTGCATCAGCAGATGCTCGAATCATGCATCAAGTTATCGAGGCTAGCTTCTACACAAAGCTAGTGTGCAGATGTTTTCTTTGATGAGCTAAATATATTCAGTTTGCCTATCCTTGCTGTGAAAAGGATGAATGTGTTTCATCAGCCGTATCGTTTTTTATTTAATTTGGGATATAAATGTAAACTGACAGTGACAGTGGACAATGTTCAGTGGTCAGTGTCCATGGCACTCTATGTAAAGAATAAGGCTAAAGGAAAAAGGCAGCTTCGGAGTCGTCCTCAAAATGGGAGCCAACAGCCAGTAGCGGTGCCTCAAAAGGTTCCATTGGTGAAAAGGTAACAAACGAGTGTTACGTTATTGTATCCATTTGAACAATTATGAACTATGTCTGTGCCGATTTAAAACTGCTTCTTTTAATCTTTGTATGCTACTCGTTTGATTCAAAAGCTATGCTGAACTGAACTTTGTTACACCCTGGCCACGTTCTGCGGCATTAGAGGTACAAGTTACATCATTAGGTGCAGATCACTGGTGCAGACTGTATGATCTACAGGCCTATGCCATACATTTGGGATATTCAGTCGTGGCGTTAAACAACAAGCAATGATTAAAAACTATTGCAAAACTATTGAGTTTTAAATTCGACCAAGGTGAAGCGGCACATTCAGGTAAATGGGTTCAACGATAAAAAGTAATAAAAAGAAATTAAATCTTCATCTGATGCCGTGGAAAAATCGCCAACCTATTCCTCAAGATCCTCTTATGTGTTTCTCGAGTGTGTTGAAAGTATAACATGTTGCAGATATAATTTAGTTAATGCAACTTACTCAACAAACACACATGACAGGCCTTAGAACTGCTTAGGCTTCCAAAGCCTGTTCCTATTCATACTAGTCGTCCCAAAGCTTCTGGAACAACATTGCAAAGCGTTTTGCAAGTATCTAAATAATAAAACGGAATTATAATGCCGTTTTAATTCTTCCAAGGTCATATGGTTTCATTTTGATAAAATAATACAGCGTGTTCTATTTTTGTCACAATCCGTTTGCCACACCCACATGTAAGCTAATATAAGCACATTGTTACTTATGTGTTTACTCCGTAAGCTTAAGTCGTTTGAAACGTATTTTTTGTGTTAGAATTCAAAATAAAGCTGTTGAGTGCATGCTTCATCTACATCAATGAAGTAAATTAAGATAGTCCTCCGGAAGTTAAACATGAATGCTATGCGAGTTGGTAAGTATATATCCGTGACCTTCTAGGTCGTCTTGGGCTTAACTAAACCACTGATTAACAGTCTCTGTCGGCATTGTATGGAAGAGTGTTTATGGTTTCGTTGTATACATCTTGGGATTAAGGTGCGTGTTTAATTTAGATGTGTGTGTTTTTGTTTGATGGCACGTTTTGGTAGTTAAGGATGCTGCTATATTCGTTGCGGTCAACTGTTTGTTGGGCAGCTAACATTAGGAAGGGTTACTCTCTTATATAATCAGTGAACAGAACTGTTGTTGTCTCATAGTTGGAACAAGGTTTTATCGACCTATCGTTAACTCTGAGTTTTGTTTAGAATGATCAATCAAGAATATAGTAAAAAAGTATAGTATAAAAGATCTTTATGACTAATCCATTTTACACAAAATATATTTAGGCAACATTTAGAGCCATTCATAAGTACTTATCACTGCGCCTTTAGGTTCCAATTCGTTTTAAAACTCAAAGGAGGTAAACACAAAGAAAAATAAATTGCTTTTTTTTAATTATAAATATATTTCGCCACATTTTGATACCAGTGTTTAGACCAGAAGGCAGCATTACTGTGAGATATACTACCCATCAAAAGTTTAGACTCACTTAAAGTACTCACTATATGTTATGCATATATGTATGGTTACATCGAAGATGAATTTCTCCACTAACTTTTGGGAACCAACTGCAAACTTTATGCAGATGAATTGCACGAGGATCATGCATTTAATTGCTAAAAAGCATGTGCAATTTTCGTGCACGTGAACAGCTGTGTTGTGTAAAAAATTGTTAAAAATTCACCAATTTCACTCAGTTCATCATTTCTTTAACCCATGACAATAATCTTTTCAACGTTACGAATTTGTTTTACAATACATCAGTTCATGTGTAAACAGTACCTTTAAACAGTATGGAAAATTTTGCAAAATCTAGTTAAGAAAGGTTGACTTAAGTAAGTGGCTACATTTACACTAGTGAGTCTAAACGTTTGATGGGGAGTATATTTAACTGTCTGTGTAAATCAAACAGTGATTCCAGTAATGAATTGTAAACTGGAGTGCATACTAGAGTGCAGTGAAGTCACCATTTATGTTTTAAAAACAATGCAATTATGAAGGGAGCAATTTTCTTCATCAGGCACATCAGACGAACGAAAATATGGTTCAGAAAACTAGGTGTAAGGAGTTGGTTGTTTCTTGGGACCTCTGGTCAATATGTCAACATGTTAATGTTGTGTGTCAGCCACATGTCACTCACCCGGATCGAATTTCAGAAAAAATAACACGTTTAGCTGAATGCTAACATGGCTGATACGGACGCAAGGTCACGAGACACCCATACTATCGACGTCATTCTCTGTAGGTCAGAGGGCACTGCGCCCTGTGACAAGGCAAGGTGAAGGTCGAATCTCACGTGGATTTAGGGATGTGATGAACGGCCTTGTGGCATACCATAGATATCGTTGAATGCAACAGTCACATTCACAGCATAGTCTGAACACTATTATTCATTAATAACTGTTATGAAAAGTACCGTACACACGGCTCTCCTCTTGACTGGGATATTTATGTTTATACATTACGTATTCTTATAATGATATTACTGATTCTCATAGAAAGTCAAGTGCATATTTTTTTAAAAATTGGCATAAACACTTTCCCTGTCAACACTTGAATAGTAGACTGACATCGAATGAATGTTACAAATATTAAAGAGAAATTATATATATATCATAAAGTCCAAAGGTTAGGGGAAATGTTCCTCAGAGAAAAAATTGTCGGGAGGGGTGAGGGGGTGCGCATCCCCACTCACAGCATTCTTTCAGATACAGATGAAACACATTTCAACTGGTATCAATAACTTATGATACAGTCGGTGTCTTACGGTCTAGGTTTATTATGATTAGGGAAAGGTTTTTGTTGCTTTGACTTATGTCTTACAATCAATGTCAAGAAATGAATAAAATAATGTTAAAAGAGACGTTAAAGTCAGTCATTCATTCGTTAAGCATCACATATGGCAACGCATAACATCTACTTGTCACAAACACTTAACGATTTCACCTTGCAAATGTAAACCTATAGTCATATAACATGTCCCTAGCAGATCAGCGCCATTGATTTATAATACTAGGAACGTTGTAAAGTCGAATACAACCTACAAGTGGTCAGTATATCATTATAGTTGCCGTCATCGTCTATACGTTTAGTAAACACCAATACCCTCGGGCTGTATTGATAGTGATGACTTCTCTACTAAATTTGTCACTTAACTGTTGTATATAAGCTTAAGCTCTTGGCTCTTGTTACATTTAAGAAACAACTTTTTCACTGCAATTTCAGTTGAAAAATATTATCAGGAGCATTTATAGGATCCAAATGTATTATCCTTACGAACTTTACGACGTCAGTTAATGTTTTCTGCAATTATCTTCGAAGTGACAGTGTTAAAAATTAATATTATACAAAAGAAACGCATTTAACATGTTTGTGATCACTCAATAAACATTTATGCATATTTGTCACAAGTGCATTGCCCAAGTCATGCCTTCACAGTGAACCATGTGTTTGTCCAGATTTGTTTGTCAACACGTTTCATTTGCGGTGTGTGTTCGGCAAACAGCTGCTGATGCTCATCGCCACTAAAACACATCACACTTAACTTGTTTGCATAAGATGTTCCCGACCTCTTGTGTTGAAATAAACACAGCTCTTGTTAAATCATATATGTGACTCTCTCGGCAAACATCGACAAATACGTTTTTCTTGACATGGAAAAAATAGTGTTCTGTGAAAGGGATTTGAAATCTTTGTATTTGTTCAGATCAGACACGATGCGTCTCTTAAGCTTAGAGCGTGACCGCATTGTGTGACATTGTCTCGCTTTCTAATAACGAAAACTGGACCCCTGCTTGTTTCTCCCTATTCATGTTTTGTCGGTGTGTTTCAGCCTCAGTTAAAACATAAATTGACCGCTTTTTCAAAGGTGTGTTTCCGAGCAGTTCAAACGATAATATTTTTCTTTTAGAAATATCATATTAAAATTGGGATGTACAATCAGTGTGTCCTCAGATGACGAGATGAAGTGCTCGATAACACTTAATGAGCGTCCTCCTTCAAGGTCTGGTAAACGCAGTCATCGCAGGTTTCCAAGATATGAACCTGTTTCATCTAAACCCTCTCTTGTTTTCAGGGCAAGGAAAAGGCTCTCCACCTACCTCCACACTCATGTGTGTTTGATACTGGTGTGCTCCCTGGCTGCCCTCGATGCAGCATGTGTCATTGGCCAAATCATCTGTGATATTCTAATTATGAAAGGTAAATTTAGTTTATGCGCCTCAATTCGCTGTTTTCTACCTTGTACGTATGACCGTAGGTCCCAGATGAGTCCCAGATCCGCCGTGATTATGATCAGGCTCGGTGACTCGGTTGACTTGGTCATCGTGTCCCAGTTGCAAATGCTCATGATGTCAGTCACTGGATGGTCCCGTCCATACTCGATTTTTTTACAGACCATTGTCATATGGCTGGAATATTGCTAAGTGCGGCGTTAAACAACAAACCTATCATTGTCAAAGCGTGGTCCTCCCAGAACTGTGCTCGTAGCTTGCTCCGGAGTTGTGAACATCTACCACCATTTGACACCCTTGTACAAATGCGACACCGTTCAAAGCGGCGTCGACCCTAGCTCGCCCATGCTTCATACCCTTTGATATAGCTCATAAGAAAGGCTGAAATAGTCGAACAATTTAACAGAAAGTAGCCCAGAGAATGCCAACATTTTAAGGAATTGACGAAACCCAAATCATCACAGACTTGGTTTTATCCCTGTATGTGTTTTTATTTCTATTTTGTACATTATATTTTATCCTATTTCCCCTTGTCTGTTTTCCATCTTTTTAATTTTCTTTTTTTTTTTTTTGTGTGTTAAGTGTTTGTGACAAGTAGATGTTATGCGTTGCCATATGTTTCTAGTGTGTTTGTTATCAAATTATTTATCAACTGGCGGGGCATTAGATTAGACAACACGTGGCCCATTACAATTGTGACAAGCCCGTCCATCACACACATTCTAGTGTTGAGAAACACTCGAATGTACAGTGTGTTAACAGTCTATAAAATGTGACTGTGACAACCGCATGTGACCACTACCCCCTTGCATGTCAGTGAGAAAATAAGTAATACTTAATGCTGTGGTCAGCAAAATGACAGCTTTTATGTCAAGTCGCGTGTGTGTTCATGACAGGACATGACACATGATGAAGCAATGCTACGGAGCTTTTACGGTCACAGGCGAACCTCTGTCCACATTGCCCACACCTATCGGAATGAGTGAGTTTGTTAAGGTAGCAATAAAGCACTCATTCAAAGCGGCGATTAACAGCTAAGTTCGTTGTGTTGAAGTGGAATTAGTGGGTTTTTAATACCTACGAGTCATATCTTATAGCTATTACCACTGCGTCATGCGCAGATCAACAATATAGCAATACTACGTGTGATGGCACTAGAAAGATGCTAAGATGTTAAGATATGGTCACTAACATCATACATTGTTATTTCAGAGGACTTGCATCACTGGCACGTTCTGGACGAGGATCTCACAGTTGTGTTAGTGAAACATGTTCCCCTCTTAAACGGAACTAATCCCGAAGATATAGATTTGGAAAAGATTTATGAAAAACTCAGTAACTATGGTAACGAGGATGGACATGGTGTCCATACTGCTCCATTCACGCATTTCACGGACACTTCGGCCCCAAGCCTTCCTGTGACCAATTTAGAGAGTGGACTACCTATTGTCTCAACAACCACAGTACCAGGACATACGACCACTTCCGCTTCCGGTACAGTACCGCAGCAAAATTCTTCCGGTGAGCCGCTGAAGGTGAACCTAGCTAATCCGTTTATGAAGTCGGGAATAATACACAGAAGGGCTAAAAGAGCCGCGGGAGGATCTGAGGGAGACGACGGACACGGCCATACGCTGCTGCATGAACTCACGCACGCCTTTCATCTGGGGAGTATGGCCATTCTCTCTATGTTGCTGTTGGAGGTATGTCATTATAAATCTTTTCATATTTATTTTATATAGCCGTCAAGACCCGGGTTCGAGTCCTCACGTGGGCACAATATGTGAAGCCCATTACTTGTGTCCCCCGCCGTGATGTTGCTGAAATATTGCTAAAAGCGGCGTAAACCTAAACTCACTGACTCAATTATATGGCTGCCCCTACGGTCTAATGGTTAGATCGTTTGTCCGGAGAGTAGTTCTTGTCTTACCCCCTTAGCGCCAGGCATGGTAACAATAAGTACCATCCTTTAACGCGGATCGGTATGACACTGACAAGGGATGGAACCTACGACTTCCGTTCTCTGGCCAACGTTCTATTTAGTACACCACTAGTTGGTTCCACGGGCAAAACAACATCTCTACATTAAGGTTAGGCGAGGACATACAGTGATACCGGACAATACCGTTCCCAGTGATATTGTCCGGATTATCGAATTTCTGTATACTGTAACAGTGGGCTTTCCTTTGTTCCGAACCCCCTAAGGTGTTTGGACTTCTCAGGTTTCAATGTATATTATACAATGTGTATTCGACATAATTTGCATCGTTCCTTCTCAAGTCCATGTCTGTTTTCATCGCTATTTCCCCTTGGTGCTGGCAGATAACCGAGATTCTCTGGCGATGACGTAATATATTTACAATGTTGGCATGTTTTCATTGCAGACTTTACTGAAGTCCTTTGCCATGGGCAGGAAACTATTGCATCACAAACTAGAGGTAAGTGCTCAAGGCCAATGTTGACTGAATTGGCAAATTGGCAGTCAAAGTAACGGTGATTATGAAAATTCAAGGACCATCTGATCTATCTCTTTATTGATGTGGGGCGGTTGGATAGCATAGTGGTTAAAGCGTTTGCTCTCCACGCCGTCGATTCCCCACATTGGTACAATGTGTGAAGCCCATTTCTGGTGTCGTCCGACGTGATATTGCTGGAACATTGCTAAAGGCGGCGTAAAACCATACTCACTCACTCTTATCTGATGTTGTCTGGTGTATATCAAGTATGACAATGTTTACGGTGAGTGAGTGAATTGAAGAACGAGTGGCTTGGTTGGATCAGTGAATGGATGAGAGCGTTATTCCAGTTAAGTCAACATCACACATTGTTATACAGGTCAAAGGAAGTATATGAATAGAAAACATAACACGATATGGCGAGCTTATTGTTTTCGGGTCTTTTTCATGACAGTGTTTCGACGTGTTTGTGGTCACGGTGTCCTGGTGTCTTGACGTCGCTTTTTACGAGGGTATCTGGGCACATCCGGGTACTGAAGCTGCTACAATCCTCATCTTCATCCTCCCCTGGAGAGTTGTCAGGATAGTAAACAGTAAGACTCTTTAGAATGATTGATGGATTTGATCAAGTTTAGTCTTAATTACTGTTTAATGATTGCTGTTTTGAACAATATTTCGGTTTCTGTCAGTTAAATGTATACGGAAGGCCAAAAACTATGCCTTTTGTGGAATCCACGAGCGCGTGTATGCTGCTTGAAAATTTATGGAGAATATTTAGGGAGAATACATGATTTTCAACATTGGATCTCAGAAAACTAAGGGAGGCTATTCTGTGTAATACCAATTCTACCGACCACCAAAAAGAAATCACATTGAAGCTTAATTATCAACCTGTTTTCACCGCCCACTTTTAAGATTTAAAGCCAAGTAATATTGCTTAAAGACTAATCCCATGAGCGTGTGTGTTCGCAGGCTTTGTTTTGGTGATCCAAGAGAAGGACCACGTGCAGCTCAAGATCGTCAAACAGAGGCTGAGGCTGTCCGTCAAGAAATCCAAAGATCTTAACGACAAGTCTTCATCATACAAGGTAAACAAGGATGAATCAGTACTACAATAGATCACAAAATCTGAGAAGGTTGGTTTAACGTCTCTTTAACAAGAAACACACGATCACGGGAAAAACATAACCATGCGTATTTGGGATTCGAAGCTACGATCCTAAGTTTCTGGCACCTGTAAGGGAAGCAACTCTGTTTATCAAATTGTGGTTCCTTAGACGACTGAACCAACAAAATTTTAACGAGAGAGAAATGATTATTTTTTAATAAGATAAAATGTTAATCTTCACTTGGGGAAAGAAATGATTGTGATGCTTTCAATTTTTGTGATGAAACCGATCAGACAATCGTATGTTTATTATTGTTTCTTCATTAAGAATCCGAACAATATATGTTTCATTTATACATGTATATATCGACTAGACAAGATTGTATTTGCTAAAGGATATACAGTTTCATGATAATTACTTCGGGTTGTCATATCCCCTGTCGAACTTGGCATCTGATGTCATTGTTTTGCCGATAAAGCTGAGAATCGCTCTTCATTGACAATGATTGTTTCCTACAGATGGAACTGAAACAGCTACAAGGTCTCTGTCGGAAGCATGGTGCTACAGAGAGCGAAATCAATCTGTGTGGACCAGGAGGTATGTACATTGCAGTAACACTAACGTAATGTTTAGTTCAACGTCGAAACTGATAGTGTCGGAATATACTGTACTGGTTTGCCGTGTTGTTACTTATAGCCAAAGGTATTCGTGACCAGGTGGTCATTCGGGAAAGGCCTTCTTGGGTTAAGGAAAGTCTAATACATGTATAGTACATCTGTGTCACAATTGTGGATACATATGTGGGTACAAAACAACCCACAGGGTGGTGTTCTGTCTATTCAGTACACTAATTACAAGACTGTATCTGAGTCATTTTGGTATAACCAAAATTAGGACACACCCTTCCTTTCTAAACACTTTATCGGGCGATGAGGTAGCCCAGTAGTTAAAGCGTTCGCTCGTCACGCCGAAGGCCCGGGTTCGATTCCACACATGGTTACAATTGAAAAACACTTTAGCCGCCATGCATGGATGCTGTGGTGGATGCGAACATCCAATGAATATTGGATATTATGTAAATTAAGGCAACAATATATTTGCTGTGACATACTGTGAAACAACTAAATATAAATGTGAGTTTTATGTCCATTTCTTTTTGTAGGCAAACGCAGAAGAAGCAGTTTATATCCGGGTCTTGAGAGCTTCGCTGCAATCGCCCTCTCCAGCGCGCTTGGAAGCCATCCTAGCCTCGCTCTGGAGGACTCAGATGACGACAACTCACTTGACAGTTCCCGGCAGAATGGCCGTACGCCTGTCATTCATACAGTCTCTAATGGCAGTATTGGCAGCATAGGAAGTGACCTTTCTTTTAATATGAATCCTAGCGCCGGAACTGAACCCTGCGGCCTTGACAACCCCGTGTTTGACAACGATGACCCCATGCCGCCGACTTACGATGAAGTCGCTCTCAACACCAAGTTGTGAGGAAACTATTATCCCAGGTGACACTTTCACCGCTTACACTGACTCTGAATCCAGATGTTCTTTTTCTCATACTGCTTCAGGTTCAGTGATAGAGTACTTGCAACAGAACGTCGCATTGTGATAGCCTGACGTTTTGAGCAAGGGCAAGGTCAACGTGTACAGGCTAAATAATGCACATAATGGGAGCCAGTACACCGTGAACCCTTGCAATACACTCTACTTTCTTGGCTGGCTACTGTTAACTGGCTAAACAAATGCATTAATTTTTATCAATGAGATAGGGACAATCGTGAGATTATCTCCACGAGTTTCCACAATAGTGTTTTCCCCACTTACCTGTTGTTCCGATGATGAAAGCTTCTACATTACTATTTTAGTTTATTATTTGTAAATACAATGGATATGTTTAAATGGACAGAGGAACGAAGTAATCCCTGCCTCTATGAGAAAATGTTGTAACGATATAAACATAACTTGAATATGAATTAAGACAACAGAACATAACTGAATATACCCTAAAGTGACATTAAATGTCAAGTAAGTAATCGGAACAGTAAAAGAAATGTATTTCCCATAGTTGTGATGTGATCTAATTACCGTTACCTGAATGTAAAAGAAGATATGGCAAGCAGGCTTGATTACACATTTGACTGAGGCCCATAATGGCTTCTCCCTTCAAAGGATGTCCCCTTCAGTCATTTACAATGTCTAAACGTCAATACCAGCCCCGATAATTGCCACACAACAGATGTGTCAGTCAAGGGAAATGGATCAGTGTCTTAAGACATCAATCTACTTTAGAGTCCCTGGCGGAGAGACAAAAGATGACATGGAAATTCCCCCAGGGGCAAGGTTTGTCACAGGATACATTCATCATCTGAAGACTTTCCAGCAGTTAACAGTTCACGTGGAATAGGCTCACTCAGGACTCAATGTACTGCGCTAGATTTCACAGGGTTTTTTTTTTTTGTATTCTTTAGGGGCACGATGTCATTATTTAGTAGATAATGGCTTTGACTAAAAACGTCAAGCGGAATTTATGTGGATAGACAGATACATAGCTGAATTATGCTTATTATTAAAAGCAATTTCAAAAATACCTTTTGTAAATGTGAAAAAAGTTTATTGTGGGATTTTTCTTTCTTGAAAGATGTTAATATTTGTTTGGGCGGTAAATGGTCTTTAAAATTCAGTGGTTGCATAACCAGTGTCCTAATTGAAGAAAGGAGATAGGTTGCATCTTACATCCTTGCTGTGAACCATGTATAACCCTAAAGTATTTCAACCCTCAGAGAATGTCACACTTAGGGTGTAGCTAAAATCCATCATTGTCGTTCCATATAAGAAACGTCGAGTTTCTCTCGGTGTACTTTTACCAGTGCTGACAAAAATAAGGTTAATTCATTTTCAACACCCTCATTAAATTTATTTTGACGTGTTTAAGTATTTATCACAGAAACCATTGGCATTTTTCTTTCTAAATGTTATACACGTGATCGTTTGACTGTATTTTTGTCGTTTTTAAAGTGTGAGTATTAAAAATCAAGATGTGAGCAATTAATTTATGTGTGTACCTTGAAATCCGTGAGCGTGTAGGTTCCAGGTTGACACGAAACACAGTGTTTAAAGTAAATGAAACTATCGCTATAATAATAATCCGAGTTCAGCATAATGAGACGATGGCAGTGATAACAAACACTGTCATTTTCAACATGGTTGCATTCCTATGATTTCTGTTCAGAAATATGCCAAAATAAAATGTTTATTTTGTGATGAAAAAGGGATGTTTTTGTGGAAATGCCTAAAGGTAATGTTTTTGTATTAACAGTGAAAATGAAAGAATTTGTTTGATGGCGCTCAGTGAAAAAAAAATAGTTTGGTGGTTACAATTTGGCATAAAAATATATTGTTCTATACAAAAATTACCCCCATCCCCTATTCAAATTTCCCAGTCAAATGAATGCTTCCTTAACTATACTGATAATTACAATAAACTACTTCCTTTCTAACTTAGCATGACAATTGTCATTCCAAGTTTTCGTCATACAGCTATTACTTTGCAACAGCATTTTTTTTCAACCTAACACGGAAAATAGGATAAAATCTTAAGTCAAATCCTAGCACAGTAATAAATTTCAGTAAAACACAGCATGAATATTTGTACTTCATTGTCGGAAATGCTAAGATGCCCCGCCTGTGACTGTTACACTTAACACTAGTTATTAGGAGTTTACTTCTAAATAACGGGTCATTGTTATTCATTTTGTCCTAAGTTTTCCTATGCTTCCATGTGCCCATCTCTGTAGACAATAATACTATGCTTTAAGTGATGCCTATACGTGATATCAGTATTAATACTATGTGTTGTCAAATTCATCAGTACTTAACAGTATGATGTGTAGTATGCGTGAATGTGTATTTGTGTGGCAACTATGTGTAGGCATATACATTACTGTCTGTGGTGAATGTATCCATAATCTTTGTGTCTGAATATGGCTTAACAAAAAGGTTCAACAAAAACCGTTTTAAATGAGCCTTTTAAGGAAAGATTATTCTTCTGGAATTCAAGCATCTACATGGAATAGTTGTACTATATGAACAAGTTCAAGTCAATAAGTTCTTGTGAAATAGCAAAAATGTTTCCACGATTGTTTAGAATATCCTGATTAAGTCGAATTCCATTTGATATTTATCACATCATATTGTTTCTAAAACAAGCATTAAAAGGAACATTAAAAGAGAAAATATATACAGCTAAACTTTAGTTGACCTAATCATCTAAAACGTTGGAATTCGCTGTGCAGGATCAGGTCCCGAGGGTCACACTCCTGGGATTGGGGTTTCTAATAAGAGGTTCACCCTAATAACGTTTCATGATTTTTCTGCTCTATACAGTTCTCGTAGATTTCCCCAAAATAATATACCTCGAAGGCCGGTATCATTTTCTTCCCACGTTAAACTGACACTCCGTGACAGAAATTAAATAATGTTCAAAGTGACCTTAATCCCAACTCACTCTGTTAAGATTTTTACGACCAATTCTTTCACAAAAAATATTTTTGGATAGGTTTTAATATTCTTATCACTTTAAGTACCCAGATATGTCAGGATGTGTCATACCTAGTCACAGCACCTTGATTCGGCATGACTCATCTATCATAGCCCTCGTCCGACACAGGCATAGCGATTACAATACTTAAGAACCGAGCTTTTCAGTTTCCGGGAAGGGGATGTGGAGGGTTGGGAGTGTAGAAAAAACGCAGCACAAGAATCATACTTCTCTGGTGGAAGTAAAAATTACTCATAAATTAATGGTTTTGGAGAAGGAGAGGGAGGGGATTTTCTTTAGTTTTTTATTTTATTTTAGAAAGGCGGTGGGTTTTCTTTGTAGTAGGATACTCGTCCGGCCTGTCAAGTGGATATTTTTTTAGTGTGCGGAAATGCATTGAGTAATTTTGTCCAGCATTCAAGGGTACAGATTATTCTATTAAATACAATACCGGTTTCCCCCATTCTTTATTCCCATTCCCCACCACAAATGGATAAATAATATCCCCCTCACATAGAAAAGAACGTGAGTTGAGTGCAGGGTTAAACAACAAACAAACAAAAAGGTTCAAGTCAAGGTGTAATAAAAATGATGTCATTCAGTGATCTGACAATCAAAAGTATTCTCTAGTTATTAATTTATCACACGTCCACACAATTTAACATATTGATCTGACAATCCAACATTAGCTGTGTACTGATGTAATATATATATATATATATATTGTGAATTCGCATATTTACATTTAAAGCTATCGTTTCCATGACGTCAGGGCATTTCTCCAGTGCCTTAATGGATTCTGTTGACTTGACGAGAGAATGCCTGCCTGTAATGTGCCAGGCTCTTCATTGATAATTACGGGTTTGATTAGTTTGTCCAATGTTTGCAATCATGTGTATGCTAAATTGTTTTAGCAGCTTAAACGTCATGTCTACCAGAGTTATTGTATATATTTATTGATTTTCTGGAATCGACAATCCGACCGTCTACTGACGGCAAAGAATTATTACAAATGTCATATTCCCCACGTTGCCACAGAGCGGCAAGGTCACGTCACCCTTCCAAGGGAGATAACTCTATACAGTGAGTTATTACGAGGTGGTTGTCATAGACTGAATTTTGTGAAAAGGGGAGGGGTTGAATAATTATAAGCATGAATTGAAAATGTCTTCCGAATAAATATGCAACGAATCAGTGGTTTGCTTGTTTAAAGAAGCAATCAATATTTTTAATGTGTTTTGCCTGTTTCGTATCCTGTAACTATGCAATATTTAGTGATCAAGACGTTATTTTTGTATTTCTACACTATACATACTTAGACCACACTGTTGATATGTGACTTCCATGTGTATATACAGCAGTGTTACCAGCATAGTGTATTTACAATGTAAATATGAAACCATGTACGGTTGCAACTTAAACAGACTTTACTATTCTGAGAATTGCAGGTCAGGCAATGACTAGTTCTTTTATCATCTTGCAGGATAATTATTGAAATTGAAAGAGCACTCTCATAGCATATCTATAATCTTCCCATATAAAACAGTATACCGTATTTCCTCTTTCAAAAGCGAATAAACGCCAGGTGGTTTGTTTATGCGGGGATTATCACTGTTGGTATGTTTACGATTTAGCTACTGGGGAGAAGGTTGAAAGAAATATTCACCAGGGCGTTCAGTGGAGGAAATATGGTATTTGATTCACAAGTGCCTATAAGATGGCGTGGTCGTGTGCTCAAAGCTCAGGTCACAAATCGGTGAAGTTAAGCAGCGTCGAGCTCGGAGAGTCCTTGGATGGGTGACCGTGTTTGGCAGCTTGACTCCTGAGAATTTCTAGGACTTGAGTCCTGCCCCACAACGAAGCACATGGACACATGTGGTCTCACCTTAGGTAAGTGAGTTTGTTCAAAATTGTCTCTGTTCACCCAGCAGGAAAATGGGTACCCGGTGGA